CGTGAAATTAACAATACCCCGAGCATCTTAGAAAATGTCTTTAATTCTTTGAGGAACAGGTGTGAAAAGTGCTTGGAACAAGGAGGGGGACACTTTCAGCAGCTGCTTTAATTTATTGTTATAACAAGGAGGGGGACACTTTCCGCAGCTCCTTTAATTGTTTGTTATTGTTATCACGATTATTCTTTAAAATAAAGTTATATAGTCATTAACGTTATTGAAACTGACAGCTGCTATACAGCTCGTTGAGAAATGAGTTTAAGTTGGTCGCTATAAGCTACTCCCTACGTCCAATGTGTCAGAGCCAACTTCGACCACGTTTTTATTTGAACGCTCGTTATTAATCTAAAACAAAACAAATTTGTTAAAGCATAAAACGCGGCAACCTATCTGAAGTCCTGAAGATAAACTATAACCTATAACCTCAAACATTCTACGTTGATTGAAATATTTCAGGCAACGCATTCTGTTTCTGTTGATTGAAAGATTGGAAATACAGATTCGGTCTGTGGTTGTAGATTTCTGTTTTAACAATTTCTATAAAGGTCAATGTTTTGCTGCACCAACGTGAGATAGCCTCAGTGAATGCATGCTCCACTCGCCCTATTCAATAATCCTCTTATTTACTCTTATGGATAAAATCACTAAAGTGGGGGCGGTGTTATCTTCACTCTATTACTTCAGCCGACATTTGTGTGAGAAACTAGCGATTATCAAAATGTTATAATAGGTAAGGTACTCAAAATGTAAATACAATTTGATAATTTGATTGTCCATACACTGATTGAAATCAGAAACATTTGATCAGTATATTTAATAGAAGACAACAAAGTAAATATTAACATACCTTAGTAATTCTGTGAATATTGATTGATTTTTAAGGATGAAAAAAAATTATATTTATCACAGATTTAGATACATTTTATTTTCACTTCTTTTCTACATTTCTACATTTTATTTTTACTTCTTTTACTTTTTATTTTAGCTGCGCTGTTTTAAAAAGATGTATTGGAAATTGGAATAAAAATAGATCTGTTTTATACCGTTTATAAAAGTAAATAGACAATCAGGAATGCAGAACCATTATTTTAAGTTGTTCCTTCAGGTAACTTTAGCCAACTGATGTATCAAATCCTTATTCATTATTACTGTGGTTTTCATAGTGCTCTTATTACCGTGGTTTAGCGTTTACATCAGTCATACAAATGTTCGAAATTTCCAAATTTAGTCCACATACATCTGCAAAAATTGATTCTTTTGTCTGCATTATCAGTTGGTAAGCTTTACGATGATCTCGTTTTAGTATTATAACTAGCTTTGTTTATTTATTCCTGAAGCTGCAGTCCTTCTTAGACTTACGAACACGAGACGAATTGTAGCAAAGAATAGAGGGAAATTGTAATCTCCTCAGGGAAAATCATATCATGACAAGTTTCTCTATAAATGTCTCTAGATGTCAAGTGTATTGATGCGGATGGACTTTGTTTTGAACAATGGTTGTAGGACTCGTTACATAATTATTTACTCGACCTATTTGATATTTTATTTTATTATTATTTGATATTTTTTTCAGAAATAAATTTATTTCTACAAAAAAACACCAGTGGCGTATTCATTTCTTGGGAAAAGTTAGCGGACGCTTTAGTAGCACGTCACTGAATAAAACCAGGAGGTTTTCATCAAGTAAACGGATTAATTTAAAAGGAAAATTCAATAAAAAGTAAAAACAATCCCAAATATCTTCTAAATGGCTGCTACTATTAAAAGCCACCAAGAAACACTTTTCATTTATTTAACGTAACAGTATCTGAATTTAACATTATCTCTACAAAAAACCGCTAGTAGCGTATTTTTTCTTGGGAAAATGCAGCGGCACCTCCGGTAGCACGACACTGGTTAAAGCCACAAGGTTAATATTACATTCAATAAAAGGTCCAATTAAGTGAATATGCTGTAGTAAATTTCATTCAATTCCGTCAGCGCATTATGAAGACATAGTAGAAAATATATATATTTTTGTAAACTTTAACACCCTGTGCCTCAAATACCGAGCCCCGCAGGGAAAAAGTTTATAGAGCAAACTCTACTTATTTTTTGGTAATGAATCTCTAGTCCAGCAGTTTCTGTATTTAAAGTGAAATCACCTTGTATATATATGACATCCATTACCTAGCAGATATATTAGGAGGCACTACCATAATATCTAAGCCCGTGAGTTTTTTAGAAATTTGTTGGGGATTGGTGTAATTTGTCAACAAATTTTATTCAACCTATCAGCAATTGCATTATCTCTCTAGAATAGACGTAACGGTTTGTCTTTGTTCATTGTAAACAAATTGGTAATGCGAAAATTTAGGGAAGTATCAGTCGTAAAATATTGGTATAGTTTTTCCGAAGTCAACTGAAGAACCAATAACTTCAAGGTATGTACCAGGCTCGGTCGCTAAGCAACAACTCGGCATTGAAATATTTGAAAAACTTGTTCCCACATTTATTTAGCCATACCCATATACAGGTCTGGTCGAACGAAACGTGCAGGTGGTAGAAATGTATATGCGCAGTTGAAGAATGAGCGTGTGGGCAAAGAGCAATATGCACTGTTGCTCTGGCCCATTGCGTCATAAAATTCAGTTGTCGATAAGTCGCCTGGCAGTGCAGTGCGGCAATGCGGTATTTGGTATGATTCATATAATTTTAATTTATTATAGGCACCCTTCTATTAATCATTCATATTACAATTGCGAAAGGGAAAAATAAGAGGGATATTTGGTTTACTATTATTACAACTTGGCATTTTGGAGACCTTTTGAAACGGAACAAAATGAAATTTACCATCAATATAATAAAATTGTTTGAGGACATAAATAATTAAAATATGTTGTTGGTCAAATGAATATATAATAGAAATTTTCTACACATTATATACAAATTACATATAATTTTCTACCTTCAGCAGAAAACTTTTTTAGGGATGCCCATGAAACTCATTAAATTTGACTGCTCGGTTTTTTATGCATGTTCAACTGACATCGGAAAAACTATTCATGAAGATTCTTTATCTCAAATTTCGTCAATTTGCAGAGCAATTTATTTATATACAGAGAAAATTTCCATTTCCTCTGCATATACATTATTTTCACAATTTTAGGCCCACACGTAGACTTTATTATCGACCAGTATTAGAAAGTCAAAATTCTCATATTTTCAATGCCTTATAAATTTTTTAAAGAGAAACAAAAACTTGTACCGAGTGGTTCAAAGTGAGTGGCCTATTAGATTTTAGAACCTACTACGATTTAAATTTTGAAAATTGGCACACTAGAGTTTTTGGGTGTGTTCTTTTCAAATCTAATAATTTTGTTCCTGTAACACTTCCGGTTATACCGGAAGTTGACGTCAACTTTGTTATTTTAAATGGAACACTCTGTATGTTTTTACATTTTTGGATTCTATGCTTCATTTTAAGGTGACTTTCATCAAGTTTTCCTATTTCTAAAATTAGTTACCGAATCTTGTACAGGGTGGTGATAATTCCCGAGTTTGGTCCACTGAAAACCATCTAAACATGATTTTTTGTAATGGAACACTCCATATATTTTTTCCAATTTATAGTTAAGTACGAATACGTAATATAATATTNCGCCAGAAATCCCAATGATACAATTTTTCATAACTTTTCAACCCCCCAAATCAATCCTCCGCCGCCCCTGCTCACGCATTTATTTTTTCATCTATTATA